CCACGTCTGTATTGGTCAGTTGCTGGCTTAACCTCCCAAGGATCAGTCATACCAGGTTCCTATCAACAAGTGTCTCTTGGCAAGAGCAACAGTGTCAGGTTTGGTGTCTGGTGACAGGATTGATCCCCAAGTGGGACAGTTCTTGTATTGCCCATCCTTCAGTCCCTGCTCCAGTTTTTGTCCCTGTTCTTCCTTTGGACAGAAACATTTCTGGGTTAAAAAACTCTGAGAAGTATTTGTGGCTCTATCCCACTACTCGCGGCCGTGCCTATCTACAGGTTCTATCTCTCCTTCTCCGCTAAAATCATTCACGATGGGTTCGAGGAGCCTCTCATTTCCCTGGTGTCTGGGAGCTTCTAGTGGGTATCCTCAGTTCCTCATCCCTCCCCGCCTTGCTACATATTTTTATTCTATTTCCTGACCCTCTGTGCCTCTCTCCTGTTCCCTCCAGTACCTGATATTTCTTCCCCCTCCTCTTTTCCTTAACTGTACAGAGAATCAACTAAACAAGGAACTGGTTCTGGGTATTTTATACTTTCAGCATTATTTATTTATACCCAATAAACTGAGAGCTTTTTCTCTAGCTCTTAACTGAGCTTTGTTTCAAATTATCATTACAACTAAGAGACATAATTGTGAAAAATAGCTGTGGCTCTGTGCTAAATTAATGCTATGAGCAACTTCAACCATGGCTATTGAAGAATGTTTATCCATCTTCACTATGTACTGGGCAAATTTAGAAGGTTTTGTTAACATTTATTTGCATATTTTATTTATATAGTTTTACCTGAATATTATATTTGTTATATGTTGGTCTCAGGTATTCTGACCTCCAGCTTCCACTTCTACCCTGTTCGTTCACTCTCATCTTTGTGACCTCTTCTTTCATTATTGTTATATATGCATTACATATGTGCACATATACATAGATTTATATATGTATATATAAATACATCTTACTGAGTCCATACAGTGTTGCTTATATGCATATATGTTTAGGGATGACAGTTTGGATAACTTATCAGGGAGCTCATCCCTGGAGAAGAATGATTTTACCCCTCTGAGCAGTCATGGATTGTCTGTAGCTCTTCATTTAGGGAAGAGGCCTTCCCAGATTTAAACTGGAAATTAACTGGTGTTAATTAGCAGATCATTACACAGGTCTTCTGTAGTGACTTTATTGTTAAATTGCATGGGTGTCGCTCCTAGTCATATATAGAAGAAACTATCTCATTGCTGAAGCCCTGGTCTTCTGTCACTATAATCTAAAAGACACTATCTTATTCGATTTCCTGGTCCCCTGGATCAATCTGTTACTCAAAGAAACACGTTTTGTGGTGGGTGAGACAAAGATGGAGATTTAGAATGGAATTGGAAATTATATGGGTGAAGGAATGTGATTATTGCTGGTTCTCTACTACTGTTCATTACCTCACCAGCCATGCATAGCTGGCTAGGTTTACAGTGTGAGGAATGACTTCATTCCTATTGAGTAGGCCTTTTTTTTATAGTCTAGTTATCTCCTTACTGATACACCCTCTGACTGTTCTTCATCTCATTCCTGCTCCCTTGTCTCCAAGAGGATTTCCCCACTCCCCCGGAACCCTACTCTACCAGACCTCCCCAGTCCCTGGGGCCTCAAGTCTGTTGAGGGTTAGGAGCATCTTTTCTCACTGAAGCCAGACCAGGGCAGTCCTCTGCTTTATATGTGTCAGGGACCAAATATCAGCTAGTATATGCTGCCTGGTTGGTGGCTCCGTGCCTGAGAGATCTCAGGGGTCTAGCAGTTGAGACTGCTGGTCTTCCTATGGGGTCACTCTTCTCAGCTTTTTCCAGGTTTTCCCTAATTCAACCACTGGGGTGCCTGGCTTCTGTTCATTGGTTGGATGGAAGTACCTGTATCTGACTCTTTCAGCTACTTGTTGGGCCTCTCAGAGGGCAGTCATACTAGGCGCCTCTCTGTAAGTACACTATAGCATCAGTAATAGTATCAGACCTTGAAATCTCCCCTTGGGATGGATTCCAATTTGTGCTGGTCAGTGAACCTTTGTTCCCCCAGTTTCTTCTCCATTTTTGTCCCTCCAGTTTGTTTAGACAGAAACAATTCTGAGTCCGAGATTTTGACTGTGGGATGGCAATCCTATCCCTCCACTTAATGCTGTCTTTCTACTGGAGGTGGACTCAACAAGTTTCCTCTCCCCACTGTTGGGCATTTGATCTAAGATCCCTTCCTTTGAGTGCTGAGTGTCTCTCACCTCCAAGGTCCCTGGTATGTTCTAGAGCCTTCCTCCTCCCCTGCCTCCTACCTCCCAAACTTGCCTGTTTCCATTCTTTCTGCTGGCCCTCAGGGCTTCACCCTTCCCAGTATCTAATAATGTTCTCTTTTTCCATGCCCTGTCCCCTCTTCCACCTAGTCCCTTCCTCCCTCTGCCCCCCACCTCAAAGTGATTGCTTTCTTCTCTTTCCCAAGTGGTATTGAGGAATTATCACTTGGGCTATTTGTATTGTTAACCTTCTTGAGTTCTGTGGATTGTATCCTGGGTATTTGGTATTTTTAGGGGTAATATCCACTTATTAGTGAGTACATACCACGCATGTCCTGTTGGGTCTGAGTTACTTCACTCAGGATATTTTCCAGTTTCATTCAGTTGCCTACAAAAGTCATGGTGTCCTCATTCTTAATATCAGTAGTATTCCATTGTGTAAATGAACCACATTTTCTGTATCCATTCTTCCACTGTGGGATAACTGGGTTGTTTCTAGATTCTGGTTATCACAAATAAGGCCACTTTGAACATAGAGGAACACAGGCCCCTGTGGCATGGTGGGACATTTTTTGGATGTATGACCAAAAGTGATACAGCTGGGTCTTCAGGTATCTGTTGATTAACCCTGATATGTAACTGCCACTACTGTACCCTTATTTATAACAGAAAAACAACCACCATATGTTAGCCCTTAGACATGGATTCTAGTTCCAAATCTATTTATGGACATAGAATCTACAGTAACCACAAATGCCAGGATGGAAAAAAGTGGAACTGGGAAGGGATAAAAGGAGTTGTAGCAAAGAGTGATATTTACACTCAGGTGCTGGGAAGGCAGAAATGGGAAATTCTGGAAGGTAAATTATCTATCAATCGGGATTACTGGGAAACTGAAGGAGAAAATGAGAAGAGATAAAAAACACAAGGAATGATTGGAAAAAGACGTAGAGAAACATATTTTATGTTAACTTTGAAATACACATTATATGTATGTATTATATATGTATGTATGTATGTATATATGCATGTATATATGAATAAATACATGTATGCATGTGTGTCTTAGTCATGGTTTCTATTGCCGCCACTAAGCACCATGAACAAAAAACAAAATGAGGAGGAAAGAATTTAGTTAATGTTGATGTGTTTGTGTGTCAAGTTGACATGGTGTCAGCTGTACTAACTAGTTTTGTGTTTCAACTTGCCACAAGCAAGCTAGATTCATTGAAAAGGACAGGACCTCAGTTGAGGAAATACCTCACGAGATCCAGCTGCAAGGCATGCTCTCAATTAGTTATCAATGGAGGAGGAACCTCTCAAGGCACCAGCGCCTTATCAATACCCTCTTGAGATAACAGTCTACAGTCAAAGTGTTCAACAGAATCATCTGATAAAGCTTCTAAATGAAAAATTTGGGGGACTATTTTAATCACATGTGGGGTGAAAAGAATTTCCTAGACAAAGGTGTTGAGTTGGGAACTGTACTTGGAAATCCTTACAAATGAACCAGAACTGACAGGGCTTCTCAACAAACACACAAACACTTGGCACAAACATTTGGCACAACTTGGATATTTGATAAATAGGTATTTTTTTATTATAAAATAAAAAAATCTATTCCAGATGATTCCTAAATCTCTTACTTTGTGTTGTTAAATTTACAAGATTCTACTTCTATTTTATTGAGCTATTCCCTTATTTAACATTAATTTTCATATTTAATATTTTCTATAAGATTCCTTAAGCAGTTCTTCCAGAGAAAATCTATATACGTTTTGCATGCATAAAATAATATAACATTCTTGAATTTGATAAGTCTCAAATTATGTTAGAATTGCCTAAATTGTTTTAAAATTTAAATGTTATAAAACCCAATTTTTGGATATTTGTTTCTTTTCTTTGAGCCAAGTAAAAACAATTACTTGAATTATGTGCATGGTAAATAAAATCATGAGCATTTCATCTCCTATTTCTACATAGAACTTTACCTTTTTACTTTATAAGTCAAGTTGAAACAATTCAATAAAAGATAAACATTAGGCATTATAGACTGGATTCTGAATTTATATTTAAGCTAATCAGAAAGTCTGAGATCAATATAGAACATGGAATTGCTTCATTAACAATTCAATATATTTATTCAAAATATCTTTTAGTACCGTAAAACTATAAATGGGTGGGACGTAATGATGAAAAAGCTGATGGTATAGACTGTCTAACCTTCTAAAGGAGTCTGCTAATCCTTATACTAGGCTACCAGTCTTACTAAATGCATCTATCTTTTCACAGTTTCCAAGTCAGCAGAAACCAATGAAGTCAGATAACATGCTAATAACTCTAACAAAAATTTAAAATCTTTGAATTCTTTTTCTAGCACCATGATCGGTTAAAAATTTAAAAGAAAATAATAATGGATGTCAAAATTAATTGGGTGTACTTTTCCCTTAACTTTATATAAAAAGTTAACACTTGCACAAGAGTTGGTGAACTTCCTAATGTTACTAATGAATGGGATTACACTAAGAGTTCTATAATTTAAGTGAATCATCAATTAGTTTCTTTATTATAAGCAATAAATAAAAAATGTTTTAGGAGCTCAGTTAAGAAGGTTAGTTGAAGTCTATATTGTTTTGTTTTTATTTTTTGATATATCTGGCAATCTAAGATACTGTATAAGAACAATTCAGTGAGCATTACATGATTAAAATCTTTATATTTTTCAACTTTTCACAGGCAAAGATGTAAAGCCTAAACAACCACGTATGTTATGAGCATGTCCAATTAGATAATAAATGAATTAGTAGAAAAATATTAAATGCATGGTTTTTACATATCTCTCTGAGCCCATTTTTAATATTTTGCTGAAAGCTAGCTGGTTGTTTTACTAATATATATGTATATTATCCAACTATATTTCTGACACTATGCTGTGCTGAAATTTTCTTTTATTCTTTTATTCACTGGACACACACCATTTTGTAAGACTGTCACTAAAAGTTGTTGCTTGTTTTTTCATGTTTTCTCAAAATAATTCATATTATGATTGAGAGGGAAGAACTTTTTCTCTGTATTTCTTACTTTGACATAACCACAAGGAAAATATAGTTGATTAAAATATGACAGATTAAAATATAATTGATGATAAAAGTGATTGATACCATTGTGTAATCATCATTACTTACATTTTTAGAGCCACGACTAAAAAAAGAAGAGAAGTCAGGTATGTATTTTAATGTATAAGCTTATGCATGCATTCTGTATTCATAATGAATAATAGCACATCTCTTTGAAATGTTATGGTAAATATTATCCAAAACAACATTAAACAACAACAACAATATTTTATAGAAAGGTTTGCTATGCTGATAATTTTAACAAGAAACTGTCTTTCTGACTTTGTTATAGTCCTAGGGTATCCATTTATGCATCAAAAAGGAACTTGGATAATTACAAAGACATATTATTTGTTGAGGGAAAATATAAAACAATAATGCCATGCATCCAAGATACCAATTTTTAGAATAACACAGTAATATATATATATATATATATATATATGAAAACTACAAGTAGTTTCTATGGTTCAAACAATCTGTTCTCTGAACTTTGAATCCACAGATTTCCTTTCAGATAAGTATCTTTATTCGTACTCCTCTTTCACCAGCCTGAGTTAGAAGAACACTCCCATAATTGTTAGTATGCAGCAAAACCTTTTTTCATAGGAACACACAGCGTCTGATTATAAAAACAGTTAAAATGTTGGTTTATTCTTGCCAAAGGCATTCATGCTGTAGAATTGCTCTCAATAAAATATCATAAACTGGATGAATTTTTAATTTTTATTTATTCCTTTTTTATACCCCAGATTTTATGAATTTTTTAAATGTAGGATAATATTTTTGGGTCTTAGAGATTAGGACTTGAACATACATACATGGAATACACACTTGATTCTATTAAAGCCTGTCCTATATCCTGTCAAAATTTATGTCTTACCTATGTACAAATATATTGATACCATATCTACAAAGTCAAATCTTAATTTCTATAACATCTACTGTATTTCCACCTGTTAATTTCATTTACACCTAATTTCATTTAATTACTATTCCAGATGTCAATGTCATTGTTTAGGTGATCTACATCAGCTATGGGGAAAGAAAAAAATGATATAAGTACTCTTTTCCTGTGCGCCTCTGAGTCCATAATGATATATTTTTAAACAAAACAAGATAATCATTTTCATTTCAAGTGGAAAAATTAGAATGAAAAATAAAGATGTGTTTTGTAAACAAGTTTTCAATCCTGCTTACAATATTAAGTCTTAAGAATATTCTCTCTGGTTCTGTCCTTTGTCTTCTAGGCTTGATGGGATAGTGGTCCTACCCTTCCTACAGACGAATGTGTCACCCTTTGAGTCATCTTTTTACCTATCTCTGTCCATTAGTGGTGCTACATTTTCTTTCTGGCTGGTTTTTTTTTTTGAGTCAAAAATTCATTTATTCATTTTTTAGATTCAAAGTATTCCTCAATGACATCCTTGGCCTGAGATTTTTTTAACACAGTCCTTAACCACTAAACAACTGCAACCAACCACTTTCTGTGGCTTCCCTCTCAATTGGTTTTACAGAGGCCTATCTATTTCCCCAGTTTCTTGTTGTCATCAACCTTAGTCAGGTTGATTTGGTGCTTGGCACACAGTGTATCCACCAGCTTGACATATATGAGCTGATCACAGTTGGATGCAAGTACATAGAGATAGGCTTGGTGCTTATAGTGCTATCCTATTGTGGATGAGGGAAGTCTTCAGCATCTCTCCGGCCATGGTGATGGATTATCGGTGATACTGAATCTTGAATGCACCTGAGCCTCAGCCTCCGTACGACTCAGTGACCACAGGGGGAGAAGCATGTTGCCATTTTCTTATTTAAAATCCTCAATTGTTTGACATTCAATCTGCAATGATAATCATTGATAAAGATAAAGTACCCCACAGCTATTTTCTGAACCATATTATGTAGAAAGAATCTTGTGTCCTATATGGAAGAATCACCTGTCTATAAAAAACTGATGGTCTATTATCTGGGGCAGAAAATAGGTTATACAGGTTCAGGTAGGGAGAGTGTAATTCTTGGATAGTGTCAGGCCTGGAAAGAGATTCACCCCAAACTCAGAGGAGGGAGAAGAATGAAACTAAGGAGAGGTAACCAGCAATGTGGCTCTCACAGAATAGAATAAACTGGTTAACTGGTTATGAGCTAGTCCAGAATGATGCAAAGCTTGTAACCTAGGCATTTATTCACAAATAACAAATCTCAGGGTTGTTATTTCAGGAATGAGGTTGGTTGTAGGTAGGAAAGCCCATAGATGCATTTCATTTACTTTCTATAGAGATGACTGCCTGGAACAAGATCTTTGTCCAGCTACAGAGTTAGCCCTATATCTAGCATCACTAAGTATTGGATGAAACTTTTTCAAATTACCATGAGATGGTTCTGTTTTCATTAACAATTCTTTCTAATAGTTTTTCATATTTAATTTTAAGGGACAGATGGGTATCAGTCTACACATGTCATCAGCATTGTCTTGGAAATAATTTTCTAATAAAAATTCATGTAATTTACTTAGAGTTTGTCCTTTCCAATCTGTAGAAGTACACAATTTAGCTAAGTTCTCTGTCTTTTAAAGAGGACTCTCTTCTCCAAAGACAATACCTATTCTCTTTCCTCCGGGGTCCAATAGCATGTCACATTTACTAATGAGGCAAAGCAGCAGTCTCCTTTAGCATCTCTGTTCCAAGTAATATGTTGTTTAAATTTACAGTAGTAAATTTGCTTTAGTTTGGATGTGTTCTTCCAAAGCCCTGGCATTAATAACATGACAGGATTAGGCCATGGCCACAAACTGCTGATTAGGCACTGAAGTTTCTTATTCTAAGAATGAGATCAAGGCTCTTACATAGTTCTGCTTGCATACTTGATCTATTTCTTCCTGTGTCATGCAATGATACAACACCACTCCTCTCCAGAGGATGCAGCAGCAAGATACCATGTTAGAATGTGCTAGCAACTGGCTCTTGTCTTAGACTTTACTCACTGCAATACTGTGGATAGTAGCTTTATTTCCAAATAAAACAACCACTGTGTGGTTGTCTGCTATTCCAAGAACGCTCCCCTCCCCCTGCCTCAAAACAGCAACCACCACCACCATCACTAGAGCAACAACAAAACCCAAGGACACAGATTTTTTATAGATCTCCTTGAGGTTCAACTTTGGAAGCCAGAAGAGGAGGAGGGTGAGATGAGAGTAAGAAGTTGAAGATAATACAAGGAGTCATAGGCAGATGTGGCATACTTGATCACCGGGACATTCGTACATGATAAACTATTTCTTAATTCTCTTCAGAACTGTCTTAAGTGTCAGTAGCAAGCAAGTATTAGTCTCTTCAAGGCAATCTAGGCTCTTATCAAGTATTTCCAATAATGTTCCATTATCTCCCCAGTATGTATTTCACAGACTACTTCCACGCTTTTACTTCTAACAGCAGAGCAGTATTCCACAATCCAATGCAATCTGTGAGTTTCTATGCATGGAATAAGATAATTCAGACTGCTTCTTAAAGCACCGTATATATTCCGCCATAGTTCTGCAAGCAAAACACTACTTTTCCATGCTTAGCGAAAATATCTTCCTTGACTCTTTCTTTAGTGATTACCAGAAGTTTATGAATTCCTTGGGATTTAAGCTCATGATGTGAATTTCTACCACAATGTTCACATATCTACTTTCTCCCTCTCTATTTCTTAAGAGCACTCACCCTATCCTAACAAGTTTGCCTCTCATCTTAATTAATCATATCTACATTAACCCAATTTCCACATAATGTCACTTCACAGGTATTGATGCTAAAAACTCAACCTATCTTTAGGGGACACATACCTAATACACATATTACACCTGAATTTCTAAATTACCCATATATCTGTTAGATTTGAAACAATCTCTTCCAATTTTGTTTTTGAAATGTTTTGTCTAACACTACTTTGGAACTATTTCTTATGGGTAGCTTGAAACTAAGAAGACAGTTTAGGCTTAAATCAACTCTCAATTATCTGTCCACCTGAGGCACGTTTTAATAACAACAGCTTAATGACAAACAAGTGTATAGTGAGTTTTAACTACTATGTTTAATAATCTTCCTTTAACAAAGCACTATAAAAATGGATTGTTAGTAAAATTCTTCATTGTTATGGAGAGAAATGAATACAAATTACTGGAAATGATAAAGTTTTGCTTTAGTTTCTGTTTTAGAATTATTGTTTCTGTTTTTTTTTCTTACTCTTTTCAGAGCCACAAGTGAAAACAGAAGAAAAACTAGGTGACAATATTTTATTTTCTTCCATTAATTTATTTATTCATTTAATTTACATCCTGATCACTGCCCCTCCTCCAGTATCCTGGGTATTCCCCAACCCTGGTGCTTCAAGTCTCTGTAGGATTAAGTGCATCCTCTTCAAGAGAGGCCAGACAAGGCAGCCCATTTGGGCAAAGGAATATACAGACAGGCAACAGCTTTAGGAACAGCACCCACTCCAGTTGTTGGAAGATCCACATGGAGAATGAGCTGCACATCTGCTACTTGTGTGCCTGGGGCCTTAGTCTTCCTGTGTATTCACTTCAGTTGGTGACACAGTATCTGAGAGCCCTGAAGGGTCCAAGTCAGTTGATTCTGTTGGTCTTCCTGTATTCCTGTGTTCCTATCCCTTTGGGGCCCACATTCCTTCCTCTGATTTTTCCATAAGAGTCCTGAACTCAGTCCAATGTTTGGCTGTGGATTTCTACATCTCTTTTAGTCAGCTGCTGATTGGAGCCTCTCAGAGGACAGTTATGCTAGGCTCCTGTCTGCTAGCATAACAGAGTATCATTAATAGGGCTTCCTTGTCTGGCCAAGTGGGAGAAGACGTGCTTAACTCTGCAGAGACTTGATGCACCATAATGGGGCGATACAGGGAGAGTACCCTCTCAGGTGAAAAGGAGAAGGAATGGAGGAAGAGATTCTGGGAGGGGAGTAGGCTGGGAGGGGGCAGTGTTTTGGTTGTAAATAAATAAATAATCAAATTAGAACAATAGTGTCAAGGATTGATGCTTGTCCAAATTCATAGTTCCCTCATGCTGGAATTGAAGATATTACTGGCTACCCACATATTTAAAGTCTTTCAGTTCCTTGTGATATTTTACTTTCTAATGTTCAATAATATTTCACAGTACTCAAATGAAATCTAAACATCCAGTTGGTAAAATATATCCTAGAGTATGGCTTTCTACTTGTGGTGATCAACCTGCTTAATACTGTGACATTTTACAACTGTTTCACATGTTGTGGTGACCACAACAATAAAATTATTTCATTGCTACTTCATAACTCTACTTTTCTAATCTTATGAATTGTAATGTAAAGATCTGATATGCAACCGCAAAATGAGTCAGGACTCATAGCTTGAGGATCACTGATTTATGCTAAGCTTGGTAGTGAAGCCAGATATTAGAATATATTCTTCTGAGTGTTTTTAAATAAAATATGAACCTTATCATTTTTTTAAATTTATTTTAATCAATAATCACCATAGTCACAAATTCACAAAATCATGGGCTATTTGAGTGTGAGAAGAACAGTGGCTAGACCCCAGGAAGATTCTTGTGAAGTATTGATTTAGTACACCACTGTAACTTTCATCATTATGGAGGCATATAGCACAGCAAGTGCTATCCTCAAAACAGTAGTTATGGAGATGGTTCAAAAGGCCAAATCCACACAATTAGTTTTTTAATATTTTTAAGCTAACAAATGTTGGACTAAAATTCTACAATGTGTCTCATTTTTTCTGAACTCTGAGTAATTGTGTTAAGAATCATCAACTGTACCATTTTATTAACCAGTAATGCTGATCAAAAAGCAGAGTGACCTCTTTTAGTTTATAATGTCATTATTAAGTCTTTACTGTGGTACCAACTAGTTACTAACCTGAGGCAGGTTTATAAAAGCCCTCGGGCTCTATGGAAGGCATTCCTTCATTATGAGAATTGATATAGTAAAATCTTTCCAGATTGATCTAATCTAAGAATCCAAATTTAGATAATGTCTAGCATTGTTACACTGCTTCACTCTTCACTAGAGTTTACCTTGAAGCCAGTCATAACTTGTATCTGGATGCTCTTGTAAATAATATATTTGCATGCAACAGAGCATATAAATGTCTATCTACTGCTTTATGATTTATTTCCTGGTATTTGTTTTGTTTATTAGAGGTAATTGTTTACTAGACTTTAATGTTTATTTTTAAAGTATATTTATTTCTTCAGAGAGAGATTAGGTAGAGAAAGAGATATCGAGTGTATATGCATATACTCATGCCAAGATTAGCATATTGAGGTCAGTAGACAACTTCTCAGAATTGACTCACTCATTCCATCCTATGGGTTATGAGGAGCAAGCTTAAGTTTGATGATGAGAAAGCACATGTATCTGCTGAATCATAACACTGGTCCAGCAATAAAAAGTAACCCTTTAAAAGCTAGTTATATAAAATACCATTTAGAATTTACATTAGTTGTTTTAAAGTAGTGTATTCATCAAGTAACTGATAACCTCTTATCCTTCCAGCATCATCTGAGAAAAACCAAACACGCAGTATGTACATAGGTTTCTTCTGTAATGTTCAAATATAACCTCTTTAAAAAGCATTTTTCATTTCCAAAATTGTAACATTTAATCTTGCTTCAATACTTATGCTTTACAAAATGAGCCTATGATTTGAAAGTTATAGGTTCCATGTAAATAAAAAGTTTTGTGTATACTGTTTTTCTAAATCAAAGCCTTTGGGACTTTAATATGAAGCTGGATAGCCCCGAAGTCTTAAAATATTTTATTCCTACTATCACATTAGTTATTTTCAATTATATAAATCATTGGCCTAAGTCATAGAGAATACTCATTGTGTGATATATTAGAAAACTTTAAAATATCTGAAACATCTCTTTTTATTACTTTCAGAACAGAACATCACCAGACCAGAGCAAGTTATTCCTCATGGCAAACCAGGTATTTCCCAGGTGGTATTGCTGCATCCAGTTGTCTTATACTGTCCTAGTTATGTAAAAGGGAAGATTATGGAGGCAGATCTAAAATCAGTTGTGATAACTCATGCCTCAAGTTATCAGCTTCTGAAGACCATTTCAAATCTTAGTTATTATCCCACTACTGGCTGAACTGAGAGTTTAGTGGTAGTATTCAAATAGACAGCTTGCCTGCTTGCCTTCAGTTTACTACACTTCTATTTTCTTATATTTGAGTCTCTCCCCCACACACATATGCACACACACACACACACACACCACACACACGGAAAGAGTATAAGAAAAAGAAAGAGAGTGCTCATGTGTGTGACATGACATGATCTCATGTAGCTGAATGCTTTTTGTGATTGATAAGCAGACCTGGGCTTATCAATCACAAAGAGCATCCAGCCAGCAAACTGGTAAGTGGGCTCCTCATTTGGATTTGCCTGTTACTACCTAAGACAAGACAGACTTATGGTTTAGATTTCCTCTATTTCAAGAATATTGAGTAAATCCACATCTGTCCTTCATACTTGGCTCCATCCTTCTTCTCTACTATAACCCTCCTTCCCTTGGGGTTTAGAGAAATTATAAGTGAAATGATGTACCATGATGGTAGCGGTGCAGAATTTACAGAAAAACTTAATATCTAGATGTTATTTAAGAATAGAAATTTCTGGTACGAAATTCACTTTCAGTTACTGCATAGAATATTATCTGTCAGTATAGGCATCCCATGAAGTGCTATAAAATCTTGTTAATGTGGGTAGGCAGGTTTCTTTGAGAAGTTAATAGTATTATTTTGTTTAAATGAAACATAGGAAACCATTTGCTTACACTTTTGAATTGCTTGTAAGAAAGGTCATATGTAGTAGATTTGTGTCAGTTTGATTTGATTCATCTATGCTTTTAAAATATGAAATCCCGCAGACTGTGGGACCATAGGCCTATAACTAGTCCGAGCTACATGAGACCATGTCATGTCACACACCTGCATGCACATATATATATATGTGTGTGTGTGTGTGTGTGTGTGTGCATATGTGTGTGTGAGAGAGACTTAAATATAAGAAAATATAAGAGTAGTAAAATGAAGGCAATAGAATGCAGATATCAGAACGGTTGCCTCATTGTCAGAAATAAACAATACAATCTTTGAATCTCCTAGTTAAAAGCTATACTGAAACATTAATTTTTGTGTTAAATATGTGCCAGTTTTAGAAATGCATTGAAATGGGTATATATCAAGCACATGATTTTTCTCTACAGTTCTCAGTCTAATACAAACTTCATGCTCTTTAAATTCTTATATACAGCAAAAGATCCTACATAGGATATTTAACTAGACAGGTCACTCCTACCAACGATATTTCTGGAGTTTAATTTTATATGGAATTGTTGGAGTTACCACTTTGCTTTTAGACAACATTTTTTAGGGTATCATCAGCACATGGAAGTTCAGATTTGATGTTCCTGTTTTAATACAGCAATAAATGAGTAATACAGAAATGAAGGTACTCTCTATATAAGCACCGTTAAATCACAGTTGAGAAAAAGGGCAAGGTTTGGATTCACAGGGTGGGAGACCATTTAAATCAGCAAGAATTCAGCAAAAGAGCTATTGGGGAGATCTCTCTTTGAGTTTTCATTTGATCTAAAGAAATTTGGTTTTTGCTGCTTTATTAAAGAAATCCAATTTTTTATTTTGTGATTTAAAATCCCAAGCTTCAAATATATCATTGTTTTCTATTGATATTTTTAAAATTTCTCCTTGTATTAATATTTTGTCCTATCACAGAACAAAAGACTCCCAAGCAAATAAAAGCTATTACAGCAGAAAAGACAGGTAAAGACATTCTTCTATGATCTTATTTTCTATATCAGTTTTTGTTTCTAGAAATTCACATGTATACATGAAGTATGTGCAAATTTTAATTTTTAAAAATATAACATTAGTTTCCTCTTTTTCTTTCTTTCCTCCAACCTCTCTTATTCTTCCATATTCATGACCTCTTTATTATTATTATTTATTATTATTATTATTATTATTATTGCTGCTGATTCTTTTAAATACTGCTTGTTGAGGGCTGATAGCTTGATATTGGATGAGCAGATAGGTGGCTCATTACTGAGACTAATTCTTTCTCTTTCATGATTCATTAGTTGCTAGTAGTTCTCCAGGGCTGGGGACCACTGCGACTTCCCTCTTGAACATGAGCATGTCTATTTTTTTTATTATTGTTCAGTTCTTGTTTAGTCAGCTGTACTGCAGAATTATACATAGGTGAATGTATACTTTTATGGCCATAAATTCTAAAATTCTGAGTTATTGTGAATGACTTTAAAATAATTTTCATTGAAAGTAGTAGAAATTGACATTATTTTTCAGAGTATGATTAACAAATTTACATATAATGTATAAGAAAGTTCATTATACACATTAATCATCATGTATTCTAACTTGGTCTTTCATCTTATTTTCTTTTCTTATTAATTTTTCTATTTTTTCATTCTACATCTCATCATCAGCCCCTGTCTCACCTCTCCAGGTCCTGCCCCCTAATTCCTTCTCCCATTCTCTGGAAAGGGGGAGCCCTCCTGGGTATCAAACCACATTTTCTCAATTTTTGAAATTGCAAAGAACTAGATCAGTGAAATAGACAAAAAGTAAACATGCCAGCATACAAGACAGATAACTCTATCCTATTTCCCAATACCCATAAAATGAGGAGTGAATTGACTTCCAGAGTTGTTCTCCGACCTCCACAATATATATACTTGATTGCAATCTATCACATATCAATCACTGTCTGTCTATCTATCTATCTATCTATCTATCTATCTATCTATCTATCTATCTTTGGCTGGCTGGCTATCTTAACCCATCTCTGTGCATGTGTGTATGTGGTGTGTGTGTGTGTGTGTGTGTGTGTGTGTGTGTCAGGGAGAGAGAGAGAGAGAGAGAGAGAGAGAGAGAGAGAGAGAGAGAGAGATGGAGGGAGGGAGAGAGAGAGAGAGAGAATATACATGTATGAGTAATACAAACAGAGGCAGGAACAGGTATATACAGTAATATAAATAAATTTTTAAAAGAAAATAAAATCAAAAAAGTTGCACCTTTACCTTGCTTATAAATCATTTCACATGATTTCTTTAATAAAAGTTCCTCAGAGAATTGTGTTATTATGTATATTTAAAGACCTGCCATAAGGATAGATTAGTAGAACATGTTCCCATTATTTTTTTTGTGGAAAAAAGAGGAATTCAGACTCTTCTGCTTTGGAAACTTTACCAAGAAGAAAAACAAAACTTGTGAGTCTTGTTCTGAGCTGATGTATTGAACCTCTTAATTGCCCTTCTCTGAATCCTAGAGAACATTCAGAGAACCATGCTTTATTACTCGTAATTGTTCTAAAACAAAATATATATGCAGTATGTTTTTTCTATGAAGTGAGAAAATAATATAGGTATATTGGACTAATTCAAGTATTTTATGGAAGCAAACAAGAGAAAATAATCCATATAAATTATAGGTTATCATGAAACCACTTCACTTCATTCCATATGACCATTTGGGTTTGTTTCTTCTTATCATTGAGTAAATTTATGATGCCATCTTTTAATTTTCCTTTTTTAAAATATATTTTTAAATTTATTTTATGTATATGAGTACTCTGTAGCTGTCTTCAGACACACCAAAAGAGGACATCAGATGGATGTGAGCCACAGTGTGGTTGCAGAGAATTGAATTTAGGACCTCAGGAGGAAAAGTCAGTGCTCTTGACCTCTGAGCCATTTCTCCAGTTTGCCATTTTTTAAAAATTTTTACAGTGTTAATACATGCCCTACTTTTAAGTATCTCCTTCTCTTTGAATATTTAAGGATTACAAAAAACTATTTCAGCCTACTTGTACTCCAAATATATTGTTTTAAGTGTTATGTGAATTTCATATCTCTAATCAGTTTTCACTAAGCATTATGATTAATTATATTTGCTATTTTAATTTAATAGTTGTCAGAAAAAGATTTTACTTTAAGCTGAAAGAAAAAAATATATGTGAAGCAAAGAACAAAGATATGTGAATATGAATGCTTTTCCTGTGCTAGTAATCATCAATATGCTGTGTACTTTTTTCATTCTCCACAGTCAAGCTTTAAGCAAGTGAATAAAATAGCTAACTTCAATTTTAACAATTGAAGTAAAGTCATGACCTATGTCTAACCACTGAGTAAAAGCTAAATAATAAGGCATAAAGTTAAATCTGACAGAGTGATGGGGGAAATATTAAAAAATGTAATTCACACTATGCCAGCAGGCCCTAGCGGGTTGGCTGCCCAGCACTGGCGGGCATGGCCAGCCTATTCTCATCTTGAGAGGACCCTCTGACTCAGAGCTTTGAAGTCTCTGCACCCAACTCGCTAAGTTTCCATTGGTGGGTCCCTACCATGCCAACCCCATTCCCATGGCCCTTTGGGTTGCACTTCTTGTAAACCCATGCTTTGCCGCCTTATCTTTTTCTATAGAACTCAGTTGAACCTCTGAGTACAGGAAAACACCACACAAACTGAGTTTAGAATCAAGGGTAAACTCAATCGCTGGGTGTAACAACTAGAATCGTAATCTTGTAAACCACATTAAATCTACATCCTCCAATGGCGAATCCTGGCAGATTTGCCATCTAAACTAGGGCCCACTTCCCTTCCCACCATCCCTGTCCAAAAGCCCGGTATCTCTCTCCTGCCTCTTCTCTTCCTCTCTCTGACCCGGAAGTACTGCCTACTCTCCCTGTGATTGGTTTCTTTATCGATTTGAAGGGTCACATGAAGTCCTGAGTATGTGGTTCACTCCTAGTCCAAGGTAGCCCCCTCTTGCAGAAACTGAATTAACATCAAAATAGAAACAGCATCACTGCTATCCACAACAACAGAGAATATAGGATGACGTGTTGGTGGTTCAGTAGCTAGGGTATGGGTTTATATAGGCTGATTGAAACATAAAGCGACCTGACACTCTTGACACATATGCTTGTATACGTCTTATAATTGTGACTTTCTTTTACTGTGTTGTAGTGTTGTTCTTGCTCTATCTTACGTTTAAATATTGATGTCTATACTTTGTTTTGTATGTACTCACATAGCATAATATTTATATGTATTCAACTGAAGAAACTTTATTCTTACAGAGGTATCAAATTTAGTTTATAATTATCCTCACGTGATGTAGTTTCTCACACATTTCCATAAACTTCATTGTTAGGTATGTGATATTGGAACAAATTACCAGTAATTCCAGAAAATCTCTAAATTCGAGGGTGAAGGAAAGGAAAGGCAGATCCATGCAGGTACAGATTAGCAACTCCCAAGGCTAACTCTGAAGTGAGAATTTATGTCTGCTCTAATTTTGTTCAGTTTCCAAGTATTCTTTCTTCCTTTCAAAATTTTCCACCATCATATTCTGAAACTCTTAGTTTTATGAAGGAAGGTTTTTTTTAAATAAAAACAAACAGTATTACTCTGGATATTTTTCAAAGGGCTTAGAAATGTATCTTATGCTCACAAATTTTGGATCCAGTTGAGACTCAGCTGTGATGCTTCTGAGTAGGCATGGAGATGCACAGTGATGTGCAGAATATGAGATATGGTCTACTCCAGAGGAAGGTACATCTAGACTACATTTCTAAAAGACAAGAGTCAATGCTCTGAATTAAATGGTTTCTGAAATGCAAGGAAGGAAAATTGAAAACTGAAAGGAGTAAAAGATTGACAGGTGCTTCACTCTCCCAAATGGCAACCTTCACTAAGAAGGTAGCTTCTCTTCAAATTCTCTTTGGCATCTTGTGTCCTTAAACCATTGGTTATGAAGAAAACAAGCAACCTGCCACTATTTATCATCTTCCTACAGAATACATCTTTGAGGTCCCCTGAGAATGATCCTAGCCCTGTTTTTAATATGTTCTTTGACAATGCCCTTCTGTGTTACAAGTTGTATAAAAACGGTTTTAGGAGCATGCATCTTGTTCAAGTGAAAACCATCTTCTGACAAGCTCCTTGCTCCAAGATTGTTTATATCTCCTGTGAATTTTCATTTTTTTCTGTCTAGAAAAAGCTGAACACCAGGAAAAAGCCCACCCATCCATAAAGACAGGTATTTTTGACCATTTTGGCTTATATGCTGTCTTTGATCACCATGCTTATCAAATCTGACCATAAAAATATGACGTAGATACTTTTAGTTTGTTTATTAGTACTGTTAAGTCTTGGATTTTGTACTATCGTCTGTCTTATCTGAGAGTAGAGCTATGATATTAGAGGCAATCAAAAGAAGATTACCAAAGCATGCTACATAGTACAGAGATACTAGCACTGTATTTTATTTGATGATGTACAGGTTCTTTCCATAATATTTGGTGTTTGGCATGGTTAGAGTTATTGACATTTATCATTCTCAAGGATTAGAATCCCTTTATATGGCTTTAGAATATTATTTAAAATTACACATGTTAAATGTGACTGTAAACTTCAGCAGAAATTATATTTATTATTATTATTTAATCTTTCTTTACAGTCCAGTCATTATCCCTTTTTCAGTCGGCCCTCTTAAAATAAATTCATTAAAGTATGTAACCACTAGCTTATTATTTCATAATTTTACTTAATTCCATGATATGAACTACTCTATAAGGCTCAGATGATGTGATATAAAGGATAACTGAAAGAACGCCTTTCTCCTCTCTTCTCTATATAATCAATTTTCATAAAATTCCCTAAATCATAATGAAATATCTTTTTAACAAAGAAAGTTTACATATAAAATTGAATAATATTTTAGTCAATAATTTCAGGATACATGGTATATTGGAGGAGGAAATGTACTTACAAAATGAAGATTTTCATCTACCATATATCTATTTTTCCTGACATTTTATGTCTGTGAGAATTCAAATTGTTAGTCAATATTAATGGATTTCCAGAAAGAACAATGGCTGAAATTTTGTGTATGAAGAGAAAATCAAAAAGTTCAACACTCCCAAGTTCTACACCTCTTCTGTGGGAACCTGTTGGAAAATAGTTTAAAGTTTATGAAATATTTCTCTATTACTTATTTTAATATATACTTATTTTTTCTAATTTTAACTTTAAGGGCAAATAGAAGTTATAGATTTAACATGCTAACTATAAGTAGAAATTTTTACCTGTCTTTTTTTTTGTTAGCCTAAATCATCTTTAAGAAAGTATATCACTTAGAACTTTCAGGATATGGGATAATGAGATGACTCATAGGGCAAACATTCTTGTTGCGTAAAGTCTTGTGACATGAGTTGAATCTCCTGAACCCAGTTAAAGGTGGACAGAAAATACTGAGCCCATAATGTTGTCCAAGTACACATAATTAGACACACACACCCCATTCACATATTACTAGGCAATAATTTTTAGAAAGAAGATTTTATTATGATATTTTGATTTTACAATGTTCATAAGTGGTAAATTAAATTTCAAAAATAGCTTTATTAATATAAAGACTATTATATTTCTATGGATTAACAGACTTTGATTGGCGAGGGATATTGGTATGTTCTATTTCTTAACCCCTGAGAATGTATGCCTACTGTATGCTTAGAGAACTATATTAGGATAAATGAGGAATACTTCAAATTTTCCTTCACCATGCCTACATAGCTAACATATTTTTTAAAGGAAGAATACCAGTGGAGAACACAAATAATTGTTTAGCAGGAAAGGTTAATAATAGCGACTGTTCTTACAGAAAACTCGGGACTTATTTCTAGCACCTACATGGTAGCAAGAAATGTCGAGTTAGGGCTTTGTCTAACTCATTACGTGGTAATTATGTTTAGATGTTTTAGATATGTATATCTTTAATGAAGCTTGTATTTAAAGAAGCTCTTCAAATGGTCCTTAGTTTTAGCTATCCATCCCTATATTTTATCCATTATTCTTCTCTTACCCCTTCTCCATTTAATTATTCTGTCCCAGGCCCTCTGCCATCATCTGTACAAACTATGTATTCTGTTTCCCTTCATTGAAGGCATCTACCATGCACCCTAATGCCATACTCCATATGTGCACTCTGTGGTTTTATGGACTGTACTCTCCTAATTCAAGACTTAACAGCTATCATCCACATATAAAAGAATGCATATCATATTTGTCTTTTGGGGTATAGATTACATCACTTAGAATTTATGTTGACATCCATCTTTAACCAGTGGATACAGATAGAATTCAAGATGTTATTTAAATTTTCTTGTATCTGTTGAAGCTTGCTTTGTGTCTAGCTCCATTCATTTACTTGAAAATACCACAAATTTTTAACAGCTTAGTAATATTCTATTATGTAAATATACCACATTTTCTTCATCCATTGGTGGACATATAGGCTGTTTCCAATTTCTGGATATTAGAAATAAAGCAGAAATAAACATGGTTGAGCAGTTTTCTCTGTAGTAGGATGTAGTCTTTTAGGTGTAGTTGCATTTTAATGTAGATCTGTTCTCAGCTTCTTTATGATCTGCCACACTGATTTCCATAGTAGATATACAAATTCGTACTTCTGCCAGCAGTAAATGAGTGTTTCTTTTACCCACTTCTTCACCAGCATGAGCTATCATTTGCTTTATTAGTCTCAGTCATTCTGGCAAAGCTATCATTTGATTTATCTCAGCCACATTCATTATGTTCCATAAGTTTGAGTATATTGTGCTTTCATGCCCATCCATTCAATTCTCAATTGAATTACACACACATACACACACACACACACACACACACACACAGATATATATATACACACACACACACATAAATTATAACACATTTTACATCTCTGTCTTGAGCAATTTTACATTCAGTAGTGAGTTTTTTCAGTTTCCATGAGTATATAAACCTTATGGAATTTGTGTTGTTGTTGACATCCATCTTTAACCAATGGATGTCAGATAGAATTCAAGATGTTATTTAAATTTTCTTGTATCTGTTGAAGCTTGCTTTGTGTCTGAGTTTGTTATCAATTTAGGAAAAATTTCATGTTGAGAACTGTTGAGAAGAAAATACATCCTTTTGTGTCCAGGTAAAACATTCCAAAAAATGATGTAAAAAGATTTTGACATCATTTAACTCCAGGCTTTCTATGCTCATTTTTTTTTAATGGATGCCTGGCTATTAGGAAGACTGACATACTAAAGTCACCAACGATCACTGTGTGAGGGTTACCAAGTGATATTAGCTGTAGTAGTGTTTCATTTATGAACTTGAGTGACCCTGTATTTGATGCATAAATGTTTAGAACTGCAATATTTTCTTGTTAGATATTTTCTTTGATAAGTTTATTGTGTCTTTTCCTATCTCTTTTGATCAGTTTTGGGTTCCCAGGTGGAAATTCCTTCCAGGTATTGGCTGCTGACACAAATAGATTGGGTGAGGAGGAACCTTGGCTCTGCAATGAGGATCTAGATAATCCAGAGGGAATGGAGGCAGAGAGGGAACTCATTTCAAATATTTTAAATAACAAGTACTGATTGTTTACATAACAGTGTTATGACATTCTTTAAAAATGGAGCTGTGGCTTCCTCTGAAGAGATCAAGTGCCATCTTTAAATATTAAATATTGCCCTTGCATTGGAGAAAATTGTTGCCATATTTAGTTTATATTATCACTATGAATATAAAGAATATTGCCAAACTTTCAAGTTAAAATAGAATGTTTGCCATTTGAAACTACTATATTGATTATGTAACATTATTCACTTCAGTCATTATCATAAAATTTTTACTTCCCCTAAAAGCATAGAAGTAGGTCCCAGAATTTTGCAGAAGATTGATTACTAAATGTATGTTTTCTATAAATTAATGTTTTAAGAGGTATGATTTTGTAGTTTATTTTCAGTAAATATTGATTTTCTGAAATAAGTTTTAAGGATAAGAAAATGTACTGAGTAACATTGAGACTATTCTTAGTCTGAGAATTAACTGAAAGAGAAAAAAAAACAGACCGATTAAGCAACGTTCCAACTAAAGGTAAATGTCATTTTATATTACTAGGAGCTAAGCCGGTGGCTGCTATAGTTTTCACTGCCTCTTATAAGTCACCATTCATTGCCTATGGCACAGAATCTTAGATATAGTGATTTAATAAAAGTCAATGAATAATTCATGCATCTAAGAGATCAAGTTAAATATTGATACAACAGAGTTTTATGGTTTATATTGTGATTTTATGTGATTTGTAGTCTATCTGTATGGTATTGAATGTTTTCAATTACTTCATACCATAAATTCATTTTCATACTAGATGCCTCATCACAGTTTATAAATACAAGTTATTAGAATATTTCATTGTCATTTTGAGCATTTTGTCTATTGTGATTTAATAAGACTATCTGAAAATATAGTTCAATGATGTACTAAGATAAATATTATCTTCTTTCTTCTTTTTTAACATTTTTTTTTCTTCTAAAGCGGGAACACCAGAAGTCACAGACTCAGGTATATATTTCATCTCTGGAATAAATACTGCATTGTGGAAAACAATTTTGACCTGGGTCTTTCTCTAACTGTGTAGCAATAGCAGGCATAAAATTGCCCAAATATTCAAATCCTCAGTGTTCTCGAAGGCAGTCAAGCACAAGACTTCTCAAACCCACTGTAAGAGTGAGTAAAAAACATACTTCACATTTCTTCCCATATTTAGTTGGCCTCATTATTTCTCTGTCTTCTCTATACATACACTAAAGAAAACCATCAGTCAATCAAAACCCTGACTTACTAATGTACTTCCACAGTCTATTTGTCCATGCCATGTATGGTTTCATTCACATTTGAGAAACTACTAGATAATGTCAAATACTAATTATCCAGTGACAATGAATATTTAGATTTTTTCTGCTTTAATTTGAATTTCTGTTAACATCATAGTCTTGTTTTTCAAAATACGTATGAAAAAAGACAGTGGCATTATACATACAGAAGCAGCACGCTTATCATATACAGAATGTCCCTGCGTTCCTCAAAATGGCTCAGCCATGATCACTTACCTCTTTACATGTGTTCAAGTCTCAGCTTCAGTGTCCAAGAGTAAATGAGAACATTATGTCTCATATGCTGATTACATCATGCTGTTTGTTTCTTCCTAGGGAAGAAGAAAATCAAAAAATCTGAAAAAGAAAGTAAAGGTAAGCATAGAAAATTTGTACATGTATGTGTTATGAAAAATAAGCAAAAGAATAAAATGATTTATGAAAATACAGATGCTGACATTATAGCATATATCAGTTTCAGTTCAACATTCAACTACTAAAGGCTTTGCATGGTTACTATTAACTATTAGGGAAATAGAAATTTATAACCTGAAGCAAACTGTAATTATTACTGATAAATGAATTTTATACATATGTCTATTGAATTGTGGGTATTGATGACACAGAATAAATTACCAACTTAAGATATATTCAAAGAAGCATTTGTGTAAGATATACTTTTTTTACTATATTTGGAGGCCCATATTATTTGAGTCATAACTTATTCATACATCTTTAAGTAAAATTTAATATATGCATGTTGAAGGGATTGTTTTACTTGAAAGAAGTCACTGGTGAATATGCACTGATGGTATTGTCAAGAGATTAATGAATCAAAGATCGGTTGTTGGAATTAAGCATTTATTTATTTATTTTGCCACTGGTGGACAATCTGAAAACTGTATGATAGTGCTCCTTTCTTTCTCTTTAAAATTAAGTTTACATTAGTAAGTTATTTACTATCATACATTTAGGGTTTTTTTTTTTTTTGTAATAATTTGAAAAACTTACAGAGGCCTTAATTATGTAAGACATACATACTAGACCAGAAAGAAAGCATGATTACCACTATTCCTACTACTAATACTAATATTAATAATACCAACAACAACAACAATAATAATTATGGCAGGTGCCGGGCGGTGGTGGCACACGCCTTTAATCCCAGCAGTCGGGAGGCAGAGGCAGGCGAATTTCTGAGTTCGAGGCCAGCCTGGTCTACTGAGTGAGTTCCAGGTCAGCCCGGGCTACACTGAGAAACCTTGTCTCGAAAAACAAACAAACAAACAAACAAACAAACAAATAAATAAATAATTATGGCAGACTAATTCATTCAAATTTGAGTGATCAGGGTGACCTATAGTCCATGCTTTGTAATCCTCCAAATCACTTTAATTCTTTACAGTAGTAAAACAACCCTTTTGTTAGCATTTATTTTTTAGTTATCAATACAATATAAAATTATTGACAATAACATAAAAATTCTAGTTATAACACTGTAATTATTTCATTTTACATTTAAATTGAGGCAATCATTTAATGCAAAGTTATTTTAAAGTTTTATGATTTAATATATGTTTTTAACAAACAGTTCCTGCAAGACAAGAAAATCTTCAGGTGCACAATGTGACGAAAGGTAAACTTGAACTTTATGAATATTCATATTCTCTGTTGCTATGGAAATTCATATGTCACTCAACACTATCACTATTAACACTAATATTTTTTAAAAAGAGGTTTTGTAAAGATTCCTCTCTGCTAATACACTAGAGAGAGATGCAGAAAAAAATATCTAGTAGAAAGATAATGCTTCAAGGAAATATTATAAAATATGAAGCAATATTATTAGAGATTTATTCAGTAAAATATTTTTATTCATGCCAGAAGAATATAATTTCCTATTACAAAAAAATCATTAGCTGCATGTTTAATATCTAGACTTATATAACTAAAATATTTTAAAACAATTTCAACTGAGATTTATTTTATTTGTGAGTAAAGAAAATTAGCATCATGCAAGTATTTTATTTATAAAATGACTTTTAGAACCAATTGAACCTAGCAATAGACTGCAAATGTCAGCATGCAAATGGAATATTATTGCCTTTAAAATGAAGTTATGTGTTTGATTAAGTAGTAGGGGTGACATAATTTCAGAGCAGCTCAACTAAAATGATGAAGAAAACCAAAGCCAATTATTTTCCTATGTAATAAGCATATAAATCCTTATTGAGAGGAAAGCAAGCCCTGTTTGCCACAGATTCTCATTGTTGCTTACTGTAGCATCTATATTCAAAAGCTAAAATGTACCTAGATGCATTATACTGCAGTATACTTATTATCCAAGACAGTACCATAGCATTTAGTATAGAAGAACTGTTAATTCCCAAAGCATAGCTCCAAGTCACAGTGAGTTGAGAAAATACAATGATAGTTCATTTTATCTTGCTTTCCACTTGGATTCTCTATAGGCTCTGTATTACCATGCCAGTATTTTTAAAGTAAAAGAATTAGTGAAGAATTTTAAGTTACTTAATTTTGTGATTTTTTTCTCTTGAAGGCATTTAGCTGCAACAATCCTCAAAAGAAATATTTCCTAATGCAAATTAATTTTTTTTCATTAAAAAGTGATCTTTTGTAAATTGTAGTTCTTAATTCTTCAGTATCAACCCTACAGATCTCAAAGTATATCAGTGTAATGCAGGTTCTGTTAAAAAATTATTATTTAGAAGCCCAAACATTTAAATTTATTAATTGATGGTACACAAGAGATATGCTTCATCTCCCTTTCTACTAAAATAGCCTATCTTCTGGCATTTCGAATAATCATTTTACTGTGCTTTTTATGTTAAATACAGTTAATGAGATGTTCTACTTCAAATAGTTATCACTTGTTGAAGAGAAAAATCTAGTTTGTCTTATGCATTTACAGAGTCATTAGTTTTTAATGCATTTTGCATTTACTTTTTGTTACTCATCTTTGAATGGAAAATGATTCTCAATATATTGTATGTAGTTTATTAATTGTAAAGTATATACATAACTACATCATGAAAAGTAATTTTGTTCATGTTATCTATAATTACATTGAATCAAAATAATTTTTTAAGGTCCATTTGATTTTAGTAAGAGTGCTTAAAAACTTAAGTTATTTGATACCTGAGATGAAGAATGTCTTTTTTGATAGCATTTATATTTTCTTCTATAAAAGAGACTGAGTTGCTGAAAAAACACATTTGTTGGCAATGGGGAGATGTATCTGTTTATTAACTCTTATTAGTAGGAAAGGGACCTAAAGATATTAGACACATTAACATAGTCTATTGATACATGCTACAAATTCCTTGATTTATTATGTTAGTAAAAAAAATGTTTATTCTATTTTTAGCAGAAAAACCTGGAAAAATACCAAGTAAGTACTGTTTGTATTGGCAAAAAATTCTTTTTGGTACATGTATGTGGCTGTGGTATATATGTAAGAAATATCATTTAAAGAAGAAAATATACTTCAGTCTGTGGTCACCGGCTCCATCACTATAGGCCTGAGGTAAAGTGGAACATCATGGTAGTGAACACAAGTTGTGGAAGACGCTGCTCTCCTCAGGGGCAGCTGAGATGGAGAGAGACAATCACCTTTCCAGTTCAGTTCTGCATTCTAATAACCCATTTGGCTATGCACTCATCTGCTTGGAGCTAGTAAGGTCCTCAGTGAGTGAATGTCAGTTGCATGAGTATTGACAATATGTAAGTAAAAATTCCATCATAGTTGTCTTCCCACCCTGGAAAGTTTATGGCCTGAGAAATACTCCCCTACAGAGATTGCTCCTACTGAGATTAGTGAAGCCTGCCTCCTGTTCAGCTAATGTAATAGCTCTGAGTTCTTGTGTATATGTATGCTATAACCCTGCCTCCCTTTTCAATTGAATATAACAAACATGGTGAGTTTTCTGAGCATTCTAAGTATGTATAAACCTGCTGTAAACAAAGTTTTAAAATTTTTGAGAATTCATTGAAATAATCAAATTTGTTTGTTTCCATGTTTCCAGTTTTAAGAAAAACAAATCATTGAAAACTACTATTATAAAAAGTTACGTATATTGTTAGTTGAATGTATAGCTTTTGATAGTTATGTAACAAAGGTTTTTCAAAGTAGGCAAAATTACTTCAATATTATGTATAATTAAATATATACATATGTCATTTAAATATGTTACTAAGCATACAAGTTCACATCTTTGAAATTATAACTTTGAAACTGTATGTGTATTTTATGCTTATGACACATTTACATAACCACATTTCAATTTCTCACACCTTGTGTAGGCAGTACTTGCTCTATGGACTGTGTGGGTCTAAATATTTTTAGTAGTTTACCCAATGGCTAAGTACAGAAGAGAACATAAATCATTAATATATAAAACTCGCCAAGTAGGTCATTCAAGAATTCCTTGACTGAAATTAACAAAACCTCATATGGTCTCCTGCAATTTAAAAATACAAGACTAATGAATTTTCTCACAGATATAAGGACAAAATTTATTGATGATCCTCAAGAAGAGCCCTAGGAAGCTACTTTCTCTATAGCTGCCCTTTCTCTATAGCCCCTCAAGCCAAGGATCACAAGAGCATATGCTGTGGAGAAAGCAGTCCCTTGAAGAATGGTTAGGATGTGTAGAACTGGAGTAAATGATAAAAGTGGAAGATTTATAGATAGAGTATAATAAATATAGCTTGTAGCAAGCAATGACTACTGTATCCTTCAATCTTCTTGGCATTATTGAGTATATTGAGATAGGGATGGGAGAGTTTTGAGTATGATGTAATATACTAAATATACTTGTCATTACTTCTCTATTGCTAAAGGAGGTCTAAGGAATAATGATGTTTGAAATCATTACCTGCAGTTTTGTCTGCTGCCTGGATCAGGTTCTGTAACTGAATTAACAGATTAGGTCCTTTTTTTCCTGCTGTGTTTCAATACTTATAAAAACTGTCCATGGTACTATCTGATTAAAAAAATAAAATGTGTATTTTGAGAACAAGAACAAGTGCACTCTACTGCCTTATAGTGCTCATTTTGTCATGCCTGAAGACTTCCTAGTGGTCTGCATTCTCACAATCAGGGCTTCCAATGCTAGAATAGCAAAGATGCTGAGGGGGCACAACAATGCAGGATACACAGCAGAGTGGAATATTCTATGTCTCGAACGGGATTATCGATTAAACTGTGGTTCTATGTTTTGCCTCGGACCTGAGATGTGTGAATGCTGCCCAGAGAAAAGAAAAGCAAGACTCTAGGCTATGCTCCTTCCTTTTCACCATCTAGGTGCTTGCAAATAACATCCCAACACCCATTCAGAGGAGACAGATAGAGGTCCCAGCCTGTGTTTCTCTGGGCGAGCAATGGCTCTGACTGCAACTGAGGCTGTGGTTCTTTATCTAACTCAGAAGAAACCAGATGGATGGGGCCTTCTGCAGGACTCTTAGATGGTAAGGCTACATAAGGAAGGCTAGTCCCTCAGTGGCGATTCTTGATGAAAAAGCCAATCCTTTTTTGTCCAAACTATTTATTCATAGTGAAAAGTGTGCATACAACTTACTCAGGGTGGACCAGAGATTAAATAGCTTTTGCAGTAAGGAATGTCCAGGAAGGGAAATTTATTGGCTAAACCCTCGGGGCCAGCCCATCTAGATAACTCGTTGGCATATAAAGCTCTGGGATCTGTGCTATGTGATCAGTTGTCATGGTCCTCTTAGTTGGATGTTGTGGTCACCTGATCCAAAACAGGAATCTGGCCAGGGGCAGATTCAAATGCCTAGAGTTCTCAATTATGAGAATTGCCACAGTTTCTTAATCTGCAGCGCCTTACCAGTGTTTTGTTTTGTTTTGTTTTGTTTTGTTTTGTTTTGTTTTGTTTTGT